TTTCGGGCTGTTGTGTCACGGATAGGGTTAGATTCCAAAAGATGAGCATCGTATATTTATAGCAGAAATTTCTCTTAAAAATTCATTATGTGATGAAGTTTCCAGTTGAAATGAGGAAAAAGTGAGCGCCCGATGAAATAGTAGTAGCAGATAAGGGAGCAATGCTTTTTACAAGCTCGCCTCTAATCGAAATATTTATTATCTTGTTGCAATTTTCCAGCAGACAACAAATGGGTTGGCGTTTCTTCTTCATACATGAGCCAAGTGAGATATAATGTATTTAATAAAAATTCATTGAGCGATTTGTTTCGCTTATTTCTTCTCTAGCGAGTGTATTTGTGTGCAGTAGTTCAATAAATATTAAATTAGAACCGAGTTATTCCATTGTTTGTTAACTTAATTTTGATTTTGGGTTTTGCCATTGCTCCAATCAAGATACAGCAAATAAATTTGAAGTGATTTGTTGCCAAGCTGCTGTATACAATATTGTCAATACACAATTATTGCGTTCAGCTCTTTGATGGAACAAAATTGACTTCAAGATGTGAACAGCGAGGAAGTTATCTACCATGAAACAGCACTGAGGGAAATGTATACATTTGCCCTTCATCAAATTCATACTAATATTTCGCAAAATTTGATTAGAAATCAGTGTATTGTCGCCGCCGTCGCTGTCGTCGCTTGATGAACGAACAAGCAAGCGCACTTTTCATACTCAATGCAACGCAATAATTCTTGGCTTCAATATATAGATGGATGATTTTTTGGCATCGACATGGCTTTGTGCACATCATTTTATGCCAGCTGCAATCATTTTATATATGATTATATGATGATGCTTTTGGTCTCTCGCTATTTTGTGTGTGTGTGCGGTAATTTTGCGTTGAAATGTGTTCAATACAAAATGTGCACTCAAATGTGCCGTCACAATGTTGAATGTCATTGGCTTGTATGTTGATATTCATTTAAAATTAAATAAAACATCAATATTTCTATTCCATACATATATTTCGTTTTTATATTCTTCTTCGCTCCATCTGTCGATGTCTCGGTCTTTTTTTTGTCTTCCATTGCGGCGACGAGCACATCAAAACGGAATGTAAACAAAGAAATGTCGTTGAAAAGAAACCAAAACTAATAATAACAGGAGGAGAAGAGAAAAAAACACCACCGAATAGAGAGCAATGCTGAAGAAGAAGAAGAAGCAGCAGCAGCAGCAGCCAAGCGCTACATGCAAAAAAGCGAACGCTTTCACGTTCTCCGTGTGTGTGTGTCTCGCCCCAAACGATTGTCTGCATATGATGTACACAAGATATGTAGTCTTCTGTCTCTGTGATGGCATTCCGTTTTATTTCCATTACACATACCAAAAGCCATTATATGAGACCCGCAAATTTTACAGTTTTGCTCATATTTTTTATTATTATTACTGCATGTGCGCTTTGTCTTTGTCAGCATCAGTATTTTTATTTTCGGAGGGTATATATGTAGTATATATATGTGTGTCAGCTCAATGTGCCTGCCAATGCCTTCGAATGAATTACGAATTTTCGCTGTGGTTGAATGAGTGTGTGCGTGCGTGTTCGACGTTTTTTCTTTCTTTCTTTCGTTTTCGCTTATATTTTTCATTCATTTCATATTCGAGAGAAGAAAAAAAAAGGTTTTTCCTATGCTCGCAGCAACGAGAGATGAGAATCATTGAAATTTCGAACATTTGCACAGAATGAATGCGTTTTAGTACTTTCTGGTTATTCGTTGAAAATATCAAACTCATGTTACGCCAAAATGCACATCGAAAATATATTTCATGTGTATTCAATTATTATTATTTTTCCAAATAACGGAGAAAATAAGACGGAGCAGAACAAAAAAGAAAACAATCCGAAGAGCTGGCAACAAGAATCTCATTTATGGATTTGTGTCGATGGGACGTGTGTGAATTGTACAAGGCAAACATTTCAAATTGATAATGCAACCAATGGACAAAATGTATCACAGATCCTGTGAAAAAAAATTTTAAACGAGGAAATACCAGAACTAAAAGATGAGAAAAGCAAAAATTCGATTATTTTGAGAAAACACATTTTCAGAGTTCGGATCAAGAACTGTCCCAGTTTTGCGTATGCCCACACTCATACGCACGCACATATGTTTGGAGGGCTTAATCAAAGACATGCTTGAGGAATGATGTAATAAATGTGACAACACCAATAAAACGTTGTCCTTAGCGTTGACTCAAAGCGTGCACACTGCACATACGATAGTATATGTCACAGGCATCAGTGATAGCAAAAAGTGGCCAATATTTGCATGGTTTATGGAAACAACTAAAGAGAGTAGCACAAAGGAAAAATTTTCACCGCACACGCATGATATGGGAAAAAGCAAAAGGACTTGCTACATGAAATCGATCCCATTTTCGGTAAGCCATTAAATGTAGTTCACAAAGAGCATAAGATACTGTACTCGTTGTTGTGTCGCTCAAAAACGTGCCGTTCATTCCATTCCATTCGCTGAAGTGTATGGCGTGTTTTAATGCGAACCCTGCTTTTCTATCGGTTTTTTTCTTGTTCGTCGTCGTCGTCCTCTTTTTCTGCCGCTTATTTCTACCTCTTCTTCTTTTCGTTAGATCTTTATGTTTTTTTGGTCTTTGTCTGTTTTTCCTTCAGTTTATTTACCCCGAATATTCCTTTGAATATCGAAGACTGGTGCTGGTGATTGTTGCGGTGCTTTCGAGGTACATTCATTTCATATGTGCCCGAACAAGCAAGGGAATTACGAGCTGTGTCCACTGGTTATCAAACACAGTGGATGCTGCCGCATCAACGGTTTCTTTTTGCTTGTTTGCTTAGGAGAAAAAGAAGTGGCTTGTTTATGCTTGAACTGACTTTATGAACCAAGCTTATTACTCTGCATTTAGACAAGATGAAACAACATTTATGAAATTTTGTAATTACTCTTTCTTGTACTCTCTTACAAGAAGATCGGTTTTTTTAGAACGCAATTAAATCAAGTCGTCTGTGTGTACCAACAGAAACAACACTAATAACAACGCCAACAAACAAACACAATATCCCGCTTGAGCTTTTCATTCAGCTTTTGCAAAAGTTTGCCAAACACCACACATTTCCACGTTGAGATGGGTTCGATTTTTCTTGTTGGCTCTTCTTCTCGATGCAAAACCCCAAAAGTAAAACTTCCACAAACAACTTAAATGCTCCCAATTTAAGATGTAAAATCATCGTGTATTGCTGCATTTCGAATGGGATGCGAACATGTTGTTTAATTTATGTGTGGATTGCTTGCGAATCGGATTTCACGTCATTTGACATGCACAAAAGTTTTTCGAGGGCAAAATATGGTAAACCTGACCCGCTGCCACCGCCACTGCTCGGAAAATTACACATGTCTTGAGTCATTTTAAATGAAGTTTACTCTTGTGATACCAACCATTTGCTTGGAAATATTTAACTGGAGATCACATGATTTAATTGATTTAAAAGGACCTTGTGGAAACTAAAACATGTACGATAACAAGCACATTGTTTGTGAGTGTGTGTGTGTGAGTCGGTGCTCGTTTTATTTTATCCTTTTTCTCGCTGGCTTCATCATTTTGCCTGTTTTTCATGTTTGGACGTACGTGTTCGAGCGATATAATGCTGCTGTTTAAAATTAAATTCAAATTAATATGAATTTGTAAGCAGATTATTAACATTCACAAGGCTACGAGAGAGAGAGAGAGAGAGAGAGAGAGAGAGAGAGAGAGAGAGAGAGAGAGAGAGAGAGAGAGAGAGAGAGAGAGAGAGAGAGAGAGAGAGAGAGAGAGAGAGAGAGAGAGAGAGAGAGAGAGAGAGAGAGAAAAAAACACATTTTGTACAAGTTATGGCCTATTTTGTGCTATGTTGTGCTATGTGTATGGCAAATATTCTGCCTGCATATAACACAGCCCCGGATATCGAATGAGTTCGCCTTCTCTCCGGCTTGCGGTATCATCACTTGCAGTTTTGCACCACACAACACCAAAACCATATCAATGTATCATGAAACAGCAATTCTAATTACATTCACACCTTGTGCCAACTGTTTCACCAAATCCGTCGTCACACACTCATGCACAGCACTCAAGCGCCCGATTTTCTCAGCCTCTGTACACTTTCTTTAATATGCATGCAATAAATGATCATTTGCCGTTTCAGATCGTATCGTATTCGTGCGTTTATGCAACTGGGATTGCAGCGAGAGTTGCATAAATTGCGATGATTGTGGCAATGGTTTGCATTTCAATGTGCCAAAATCTACCCAAATACAAAGTATAATACGTAGATGCAATTAAAACTGAAACGAGAATTATAGCAGCAACACACCAACATGGCTATGGTATCTTCGTGCTTTGGCGTTGCTTATGCAATTTGATGTTGGTGGTGTGCATGTTTCGCACGCATTCGTGTGCCACTTACTTATGAACGGCAAGCGGCAAGTCCAGATCCGACGAATAAATGCCGACATTATAAATTCACAGTGCCACTGCTCGAGTGCGCGCCGCAAGCACAAGAAATATTGAAGATGCAGCATAAAAGAAAGTGGTGAGAATGAGAAATGAGCCATTAATCAGTTGAAAATATATATTGCATTATTTAGAGCATCGTCGTCTCTTATGAAATTCTCGTGTACAATACGGATTTAAATTGATATAGTATCGGTTGTGAAATGTGCACAGCTCAATGGTGCAACTTGGAGTGTGTTCAGTACAAACAAACATCTCAAGCAATAAGAAACCATTCTCTGAAGTTACAAATGAATCTTCTCTCCAGAACCGTTTCCAGTAGTAGTTAGATGCTTCCATAAATCAGAACGTAGTTGGAACTTTGATAAACGTGCGTATATATCCATGTTGACGACTTAATAGTTTTGTGTGAATTGAACTGGTTACGACGAGTGAATGGCTTTGGATTGGTTTCTTTCGCTGTTTTATGTTAGTCTTAAACATCTAAATCACATACCTTCTGGTTTATTGGCTTGTTCGGCATTCGGCGGAAGATGATTGTTTTGTTCGTCGTTCGTCTCATCTAGATATATAATTTTTTTTTTTGTTCGTTTAGTTTTATCGTCGATTGAAAAGAAATACGTATGGATCAAATGATGGATCCCCATGACAGAAAAGCACACACATCAGATTGGAATGGAGTTTGTTGTTATTGTTTTTTTTTTGTTTAGTAGAGACAATATAAATGAATATAAAAATGCAGCCATTTCGATAAATGTTAGATGATTTGGAGTTTTGGAGCTTTTAAATTCACAAACACAAGAAAAAAAAAATTCAATAAAGAATTTTCGGTAAGCAATCAAGTTCCACTGCATCGATTCAAATTACATTCTTTGCTACGACCTGAAAATAGGCACGTTAATGCTTTTAGTCAAGAGCTAGCTTTTTCCGAGCTAGCAATCAATGATATCCAATTAAATCGTGTTTTCCAAGAACACATAAGCAAAAATGCTGAGGAAAAAACGAACCGAAAAACTTTTTTAATTAGAAATTTGATAGGCGGCATGTGCCAGGCGTTGTTCCCTTTAACGTCTTCGTTTCCACCACGTTCGTTTGATTTTCTACATTTCTTACAATCGCTTCCCGTTAGCGCGTTGCTGTGTCAAACCGTTTTGATTCGGTGACTGATTGCACATACGTTCAAACATGTTACCAACCATGTATAGGGTTGAATCAGTTTTTCATTGAAATATTATCGCTGGGTTGAAAACAAACATATTCGATTTCTATATATAAATAAATTTATCAGATTTTGTGGCAATCGTCGATAGAAGGGCGATTGCTCCCCTCGATTATCACTGAGTTGAATAAAGAGAGACATAATCCAAAACGAAAAAATTATTAATCATTTTGTTTGGGGCGATTTTCTGTGTGTATGTTTGATGTTTGAGGGAGAGAGAGAGAGATAGAGAGAGCTCTGGTGTTAGACTGGCTTTTTCGAGCGCTTGAAATGCTGTCAGCCAAGAAGACAGATAAAGCCACAACAGCTATTAGATATATTAGTGTATATGTCAAAACCAAGCAAATGTAACTATATGAAAGCGAAATGACTGTGTCTTATTCTGGGGCGGCCACTTAGATGGATCGGTATACTTTTGGGGAAAGTTTATTTTTCCGTTGGCTTGCCATCAACTTCGATTTACTTATTGGTTGAGAAGGGTAGTCGATCCATTGACGGAATAAAGCATTTTATACACTACCCTGACTGCGGGATTATCTATGAATCCGGCAATTCACTAGTTATCATGAAATCGGCTAAGGTTAAAATGATAGATATTTTGCGTGAAAACAAACATTAATCTCTCCGACTGGTTTCGAATAAAACAATGAAATTTTGATATTGTCGAGTTCGAACGGGAGCATTGTAATTTAAAAGCGACAGTGGTTTTTATCGTCGGCCATTTGATCAAATAGGCAAGGGATATATGGAAAACAATTTATGGCTATCATAAAGGGTTTCGAATTTGAAAATTGCGGAGCAAGAAACGATGAAAAGTTTGGGTTTTTGATACGGTTCATTATCTTAAAATTGAGCTCGAAAAATGAATCAATAAAACGGAAGGGAAAGAAAGTGGTGAACAGAAACAAGGGGCAACAGATGCAAAAATATTAGGTTATAAGAAAACTTTGGTTTTCAATCAAATGAACCAACAAGTTTTTGAATCGACCAATTGTTTCATTACTTTCGTTTCGCTGCCTACGTCGACAATGTAGCAATAGCGCATATTTATTATCCACATTCTTCGGCCATTCATTGGGCAGAGAGGGAAGATTTGATTGTCGTCCCCGTTTAAATATTTACTCACACTTTTTCGATTTATCGTTATTATATGATCCAATTTATCGGCCTGAAGGGTGAAATATGATCATTGGATTTTACTTTGATATATGAACGCCGGTCTCGAAGCATTCCGTGTTCCATGTGATGTGGATGCGACACGTTCTCTCTACGCACAACCATTTTATGTTTGCCGAATCGAATATAAACAATTACGTGAAATATAATACGAAGTCGCGTAAATATCGAGGATATGCGCAGTTTATATATCTCTTGTTGCCCGTTCGTTAGCCACTAAAATGTGGCCACCAACATTTCGGCTGGTCATTATCTAATTTCAGTGTGTTTTATGTGGTTATTTTTGCGCCCGTGGCGGAGTTGATTGATTATGTTTGTTAAATGGGATAGATTCAAAAAACAAAGGAAATACGAGCGCAAAATTCAAACATCGATACGGAGTTTGTGTAAATCAGCTAAGACAGGTGCATGGGGATATGTGCGAAATGCGTGTATACGGCTCGATCCGGGCTCCAAACATTGTGTGTGAGTGTGTGTGTACAATAATTTATGTTAACAACAACTTTGTAATTTGGGAAAACACATTCACAGCCACTTTCAGGAGGCAAATTAAATTGAATTATTTTCCCAGAGTTTGGTCAAACAATTTTTCGCTTATAATGTAAAACTAGGAAGCGCCTGCACTGGAGCACATCCACATTTTGAATATTGCGAACGAATCATATTTTATGTCCACACTACACACACACACACACACTACACACACACACACACACACACACACACTACACACACACACACACACACCGTATTCTGTCAGTGCTCTTTCAACTGACGATGCGTTTATTTGTGCGCATTCCCATATTTATTTCTATTTAGCACGATTATCGTTTGCGTCATGGATCACGTACTCGAATGGAGCACGGACATGAAATGAACATTAATATCTTATTCACACGCACTGGAATCGCATCCATAAATTGTCGAAATTGATGTGTGCTTCGCTTCATTTCGTCAATGCAACGTCATTTTTATCATCACAGATTTTCGAATAAGCGCACGAAATCATCCACCACATCATTCTTAACTCGCAATGTCAAAAGAAAAGCTTTGCATTCTCCTCCATTCTATTCAAATCCAATGCTACAAAATTTCAGCAGCTGGATTTCCTATTTTCTCGATTTTAACAGCGATGAGAGAGAAAAAATCTCTCACGACGAAAGCGAAAACATGCCGCACAACACACCAAATAGACTTGACTGGAAATTGTTCCGATGATTCCTTCTATTTGATCTCTTTATTATATGGGTAATGGATTTTTCGTTCGTATCACTTTCTGAAATTGTTGAATGAATCTCTCTTTTTTTTATTCGGCTTTGCTCCTTGTGGGGAAAGTAATTCAATTTTTATGATAACGGTTATGCCTGTTTTATGGAAAGTTTATGTCAATCAGTTAACGTGTTACTAGGGCTTTCGTTTTCGTCGCAATTCTTTTTGTGATCATTCGATGCGATGCGATACATCGGATGCCATCGTTGATGGAGGAGCGAGTTCAGAGTCACTTGGAATAAGGGGGAAAAGAAGTGGAAAAAAAAAATTATGCGGAGAGCCGGGTCACAGGAAGATTCAATTTTTACGGCTATTTATTCTGGGAAATTGTAATCGTTCTATTTATTATGTCATCGAATGAGTGCCACCATCGAAAGAAAAATACACACAGTACTTCCGTTGGGATGGCATAACACCGCCCACAATTGAAATATCAATATTTTCTTTCCGTTATGCTTTTCTCTTCGTCTTTTTTATGTCCATTCACAAAATAAATCTCTCAAGTGAGTTCATTGCAAATTATATTGTTGCGATGTGAAATGCGAAGGGATGGATTCAATTTAGAAGAATTTCCATTGAATGTGGAAAGGAAAATTACTCGAACCAAGTTTTCTTTTGGGGTGACCAATTAGATTTTCAAACTGAATGAATACGGATGCGTTACGCTGAAATTGTTCGCATGCGAAATCAATAACGGTTATGTGAATTGAAAATCGATTATCGTCTCAAGAGATAGAGATAGAGAAAAATGGGCTATAAGAAAATGATTCGATTTTTATGATGAGAAAAGTATTTTTATAAGTATTAGAAATTCAAGCGTAACAAATAGTCAAACTATCGAGAGAAAGATGAATCGGTTATCGGTGCGAGTGCAAATATTGACGGTAAATTTTAACACCTGGGAAAACGAGAAAGGAAAAGAAAAAACACACCACTCTAATGCAGATACTATCGATGGCAAACACAATTCTTTTTACGCAGTTAGCTAAAGTTCCATTCGGAATGCTTTGAATGCTTCGGAGAGAAGAAAGTGCACACAATCATATTTACATATTCATTGAATATAATACTCGAACAAATTTGATGGTAAACACAGACAAAACCCAAAACCTCACCAGCACAATATTTCCATATGGCTATCAGATCGAATGAAAATCACTGGTACAATCGGAGCATGGAGAACGTAAAACTCAAGCTGATGCAAAGTACAAGAAAAACCGAAGCGCAACTCTTTGAGAAAACCGAGTAACCCCCGTGCGATTTGCACGTGCAATCGTACGCGTTGTTGTCACTGTCATCGCAACAACAATGTAAAATCGAATCGAACGTTCTCGATATGATGCACATCGAATTATGAAGTGAAGCAAAATGGAAATATGAGATTGCGTTGATTGGAATCGTGTCGATACACATACACTCAGCCCGTTTTTTTTCTGTATTATAATTTGCTTGAAATTGGTTGTTCTTCTTGTTTGTTTGCCTAAGTTTCGACATAATGATTCGCACCTTTGTGCTTGAAGCTACATCAAGTTCAATTAGATGGAATTTAGTGCTCAATTATTTTGCGATTGTGCTTTTGAGTGTAAGTGAATTTGTGGAGGAGGACTTAAATTAACGTGAAAAATGGTATACAACTTGACAACACTTGTTCAACACGCGCAAAAACTTACACAAAAATGATACACACACATTGTTACTGTTCAAGTTAAAGGAAAAACTAAGTTTTTTAAGGAGTTAAAAAGAGTGAAAAAAATATAACACCAAAAACCATTGAACACTCACTCGAACGGCACGATTTTCAAACTAAAATAAAGACGAAGGCACGACAAAGAATAAAAAATAACTCCAAAAACTCAACAATCAGGAGAAAGAGAGAGAAGACACAACAATTCCAACAACAAACCGAATGGAATAATAAAAGTCGAGTTAAGTGAGAAATTGAAAATTAAAGGAAATTAACAGTAAAAGAAGACAAAATGAAACGATACGGAAAAGAACAAAAGAAAAAAACCAAAAACGTACCTCGTTGTTCAACGTTTTTAATATCGTTGGCCGTAGGCGGAAACACCTCAATTTCTGCAAATAAAAAGATCCAAGCAAATGTGTGTAATGTGGCCAGACTCGTGTTAGTTGTTTTTGTTTTCTCTGTCTCTTTAATTTTTTTTTAGCAAAATACTAACGACAACCATATCGACGGCAAACAAGTTTTGAAGAAAAACCAAAACGTTGAAAAGTGTGACGGGCGCATGAAAGCGAAATGCGATTTTAATTCTTGCGAACGTGCAATTTTTTTGTTACATTTTTGGGCGGAAAAAACTGTGGAATTCTAGTTTTTGCCTTAGTTTTTGTTTTTGTTCGTTTTCGCACGAAACATTTTGGAACACCAGGCAAGTTAAGGAAAAGTCAAAGAAAGAAAAAAAAATCGTTTTGTCAAACTTACGTTTTCCATAACCCAAATCGGATTTGTTGGCTGGTATGTTACCATTTGGTTCTAGTCTATCAAGATATTCCTCCGAATTGTATCCGTTAAATGGTACTTCGTTGCTATGACCACTTCGATGTTGGTGCCACGACTGTTTCCATATCCGTTTCGATGATGATGAATGATTATAATGATTTATTTGATGCTGATGATGATTCGAGTCCTCACCATCTTCTCGTGATATCGCTGCGAGAGAGACAAAAAAAAAACACAGTTAAAAAATGGAATTAATTAAATTTTCAATGAAATGCAAAACATGTTAGTAATGAAATTTGAATTTTTGTGCATTGCTAGCGGCTTTTGCCATTTTAAATAACAAACGTTGCCGTTTTTTCCCTCTCCTCACACTCTCGATCTTCTGAATCTGAAATGCGAATCACCAAGGTCGAAAATTAAATTAGCCGATGGCATTTATTTTATTTCAAAATGTTGTGTATGATCTATGCAAAGCCTTTAACTGTTTTTTGTTGAGCGTTAATGTGTTGCACGCGTGGTGGTGTCCCTTTAATTTAAAATGCAAATTTTTAACGTGTTTGCTATGACCTGCGAATCGTTTGACGTAACCGTTGTGTTTGCATTTACGGGACAACAACGATGACGACCGAGAAAAAAAAATGTTGGATGATGAACAAAAGGCATCATCAAAATATATGGTAAAAACGTGTGTGCGATCCGTGTGGACCGTGTCGTAATTGAATCAAGACGAATTTTATAGTTTGTCATGAAATGGTTCATCCTCCCTACAGCAGGACACAAAAAAGCCATAAATGTACAGGAAATGACACCGTAAAGAAACCACTCTATACATATTGATTAGAGTTATTTAAATGGGCGCTGCTTTTTCTTGCTGAGCCACACATCCACATGCGGGAGTTTTGTGCGGAACAAAGTCAATTGCTTTTGAAACACATTTGAATTTCACACCCTTTTTTTGTTTCATAAAATGCAGACGGTTGAATCTCTTTATCTCAAATCAAAATCTAGTGAGTGGTGGTGGTGGCCCATACTTCGTGGAGGCGTATTGATTGGTTCCGTCATCACATTGAATTCAAAATTTGATGTTTGAATACTGTTTTTCTCAATTAAATGAGCAGAAACCAATAATGCTGACTGTTGACGAGAAACCCATGTTGTTCGCTTAAGCCTTTGATGCTCAGATCATGTCCGTAGAAACGATTCGGCATTAGCATTTCAGTTTTTAGACTCAACATAATAAATATTATTTTAGCTGGCATTGTTTGAGCTTTACGCAATTATGTTTCCATATTGAGGAGGAAAAAGCGATCCGAGACACACACTTTGACTAAGTGTTGCATTCGAAATGGGTATGATGGTGTGTTTTGTGTGTTTGCTGCTCATTTTGTGTGCCATTTGATAGAATATGACACGAACGATGGGGAGACGACGACGATGACGACAACGGCGGCATCATACCATCAAGAATGCGACCGACCAATCGCAGGCACGTCCTAATCGAGAGCGAATAAATCATCTAAAACATTACACACAATATCAAATTTATGGTAATTCTAATGAATTTCATTTCGAATGTAGCACCACCGATATTACAATGCATTTGCATATTTATAAGCATGTGGCAGCGGCAAATGGGAATGGCTCTTGTCGCAGACACACGTGCAGCTATTCAAAATTGCGTACGAAGTGAAATACACACACACACAGAGCGAGAGCATCATGGTAAGTGGCACACACCAGCCCACAAATGCAAAAATCAAACGGCGAAAGCTCATCTAGCGCGAATAATGTATTTTCCCTTGGATTGAAGTCTTCAATGACAGCCGAAATGGAATGAAAAAAGGTGCAGAAGAATTCGAAAGCATTGAATGAATTCAGTGCGAGAATTCGATGCAGTGCCGCAACGTGGCAACATTGGTCGTATCCGTGTAATTCATTTTGAAAATTTCATTTAACTACCAGCGTCGACATTTGACGGGGGAAATCTCTATCTTTACCAAAACCACTTTGCACGAAAGATTTCCATGCCATTCCGTTTCATTCCATTCCATTCGATTCAATGGCGTGCATTCTTTTCATTCGATACTATCGTTCGTATTTCCCGAGTCGGTCGGTTCGGTTGACAGAAGGTTTTGCATATTTAATCGGCATTGTACCTCAAAGTCGTAAACATTCATCGATTCAGTCATGATCATCGTCCTTACTACTGTCACCAATATTTTATAGCCATTTCTTGAATTACACACAAACAAAACCCAAAATGAAATCCTCAAAGTATAGCGAATGGATGTTGGCATAAAGTGCAACGTGCGATGAGACGAACCGAAGACGTTGAGTTTAGTTTGCCGCATATCAGCCATAATATGTGTGAGTATGTGTGTACATTTACTTCATAGCGGATACGAATTGAAGCCATTGGCATTGGACTGGATTGATATAGCGTAAAAGAAAAGGGTCGACCAAATAAACAAGAAAATAAAACACACAAAATCACGATGTGGCTGGCTTTAGTGTGGTGTGGTGAAGAAATGGAGCAGAATTTATGATCGCTATGTGCATATGGCAATTGTAGCATGATGGCATTCGCCATATCCATCGCAGCGCACACACCAGTACATGGCAGTGCATGTGTCATAGCCACTCGAAATACATGAATGTCGGATATTATTCAATTTCATTCGGTTTCCGTGCTCCATTAGTCGCTTGAGAATGTACGAACGCGTTCGTTCTCGTCTATTTTGATTGCATGCAAACCGTCTCACTCGCTCTGTCTTGCTCGCGCACCAAGCCGAAATACAGAAAGAGCGTGCACCAGAGCGAGAGAAAAAGAAATAAAAGAAATGCCAGTGGAAATCCGTTCCATCGAATCCAGTCAAATTGAGAAGACGAAAACAAAACGAACGGATGATGTTCATTAAAGTGGTTCGACCCATATAATTTACTGCAATTCATATTTGGACTATATTTCGCCACAGGTTGCGAATGGTAGCAGTCGTAACTGATTGAGTACGAAGCGATAATAGAATTGCTGCCCGCTTAAAAGCTCATTCGATCGATCGACTCGGCTGTTGCAGCAATACGGTAACGGCAACGGATCGAAGGGTTTGTCATTGTTATTAGTTCATAAATGAATGATGATTATAGTGAATTGTTCGGGCCAAAATTATGGTTCACAAATCGAATCGTTATGATTTAATTATGGTTTTCAGCCAGCAATAGCAAACAGAGCATAATCGATCAAATTATTATTGCAACACCGTTCAAAAGATTGAGTTGGCTCTTGTGGCTGGCCGATTTTGGTTTTTTAATGCAAATGCTATTTCGATTGGAAATGTTGAAATTGGGCCCGTGATTTGAATGATTGAAAATTGCACAATAGAACTCAAAATGAATGGAGTTTTTTCTTTCGAATGAGTTTGTCCTCAGTGAATAGAACGTATAATAACTGCTGCATCATTTTCATTATTCATTCATTTGCAATAGAACGAACGAAGGGAAAAAAAGGAAATATATGTATATCAGGCAATAAATTGGGTCAAATTGTGGCAAATAAAGCTCGCAAACACTAAAATTCCCATTCACTATTTATGTTTGCGATAAATTTGAATATTTGCATTTATCCATTCGTAAGAGATAAAAGTGGATCTGCAGCATTAATGGAAAAACATGCAGTTGCAAAAAACCACCATTACCACCACCACCACTGGCACCACAATTTTTGCGATATAAATTTCGATCGCCGTGCAGAATTATTTCGCGTTCTTAACAATTTTCGATAGTGCGGCATAGAGCCATTAATTAGTATGGCTCGGTACGCTATCTCTTTTCTCATGAGAGTTTCTTGCATTGCAATGGAAAACGTTACTTCCTGTTAATACGCATCCATCCCACGGGCCAGTAATTTTATCGCTTACAGTTCGATTTTACGGATGGAACGTGTTTATGTGTAAGTATAAGTGTATGTGTGTGTAAATGCTGCTGGTGTGTTCGCTTCATAATATCATGCAAAGTGGAAAAGCACACGGCCCAATGTTATGGTTAAATAGAATTTCGTCTATAAAAATGACAAAATCGTCTATAAAATTGACAAAATCGTCTACTGAAAAATTGTCACTTTTTTTTACAAATTCGTCTATATTTTATGACAAAATCATCTAAAATTCTGACAATTGTTTTTGTGACAAAATCGTTATTAAAAAAGACAAAATCGTCTAAATTTGCAATTTCCGAAAAAAATGACAAAAACATCTAAAAACCTCCAAAATCGTCTATGGACAAAACACGTATTAAAAGTGACAAAATCGTCTAAATTTGCAATTTCCGAAAAAAGTGACAAAATCGTCTAAAAACCTCCGAAATCGTCTATGGACAAAACGCGTATTAAAAATGACAAAATCATCTACATTCACCATTGCAAATTTTTATTCCGAAAATACTAAACTACTGAAGTATTTCGATGTGCGGAAAGAAGTGGTTGGAACCATCAAATATTCCTTGTTGTAGTTGGAATTGTATCAATGCCAAACGATGTAATGACGGGCAGTTTCTTATGATAATATCCAGAAGTTTGACACTCGGTGCATTGAATGACGCTGAATCGATTCGCAAGGAATGAACGCTCGCACCGAATGTCATCAATAGGCTGCGAAACTCCCTCCAGCGTATGCAGTAGTCAATTTGTGTCAATTAGAATTTATTTTAACAATAAGCATTAAGTTCTGCGCTCCATTCATTGAGTTTCAGTCGAGCAAAAAGGGGGAATTGATATTTTGAACAAACATTTTCTCATAAATATACAATTATACGAATTTGTGAAAATAAAAACGAGTTTGAAACCATTTTTCAAAAAAATTGGTGAATGTAGATGATTTTGTCATTTTTAATGGGTTGTTTGTCCATAGACGTTTTTGTCACTTTTTTCGAAATTGCGAATTTAGACGATTTTTTCATTTTTAAAACGCGTTTTGTCTATAGACGATTTTGGAGGTTTTTAGATGTTTTTGTCACTTTTTTCGGAAATTGCAAATTTAGACGATTTTGTCACTTTTAATACGGATTTTGTCACAAAAAAAATTGTCAGAATTTTAGATGATTTTGTCATATTTTGGAAAAAAATTTAGACGATTTTGTTACATTTTTAGATGGTTTTGTCATAGACGTTTTTGTCATTTCATTAGACGATTTTGTCAATTTTATAGACGTTTTTGTAA